CCCGCTGTTTCCAGCATCTGTCATCTGGATGAGATTGGCTTATAAGTGGTAAAATGATCCTGTAGGGGTTTTGTCTTCGATTTTTTTATTTTTTATTTTTTTCATTTTCATTTCTCTCAAGACTTAGTACTTTATTGTTTTGATTGCATCCGTTTGATTGTTTTGTCTTGGATTGATTTAGGAAATCTTACTGACTCATCTCCCTGAACCCCAGCTCTGATTCACAGGAGCAACTTAAGCTTTACAGTTTCACAAAGTAAATAGAATTCACTATTCAGGAAATGTTGCACAAGTGGATCCTGATAGAATACTTGTAATCATCAGTCATATGATAAAGCTACTTCAACAAGCGATTGGACCTTCTTTCTATCACTATGTTTGCTTGTGAGCAGTAAATATTTTAAATCATAATTTAGACGTTTGATATGATTAACTGGCATAGAGAAGAACAAACTGATGCGCTTCATCTGGTGTCAGTTAGGAAACCGTTTGACACTACCACAAAAGACAGTTCAGCTCATCTTTCTGCCACAGTGGTTAAAAGAGTAGAGCTGACAGCGGAGATGACAAGGACGGGCAGTGAAGGGACAGATTTGATTGAAAGGAGAAGGAAAAGTCACTGCAAGAGAGATTGTGTTCAAAAATAGATACAGAGAGGGGGTAACTGAACACAGGATAGTGAAACGAGCAAGAGGAGATGGAAACCTGTAAAACAACTGACAGAAATTCCAGAAAGAATAAGAGGAAGAAGTAACAGGATGCAGAGCGATGAACATCAGAGAACAAAATAAACATGGCCATGAGCTCAGATAGAAAGAGGGATGAAGGACGAAACAATGCAACAGAAAGAGGAGTGCAGATGGAGGTCAGTAGAGAGGGACAGAGAGACAACACCATAGAGACTACTAATGAGGGAGGAGAGGCCTGCTGACTGGAGGGAGCGGATAGGCCAGGTGTTTACTCATGGAGATGAGGAGTGGTCCACAGCAAGTGTCTCTAGCCAGAGGGAGAAAGTTAAAAAAAAGACTTGTAGATCTAGCTCATAAACCAGTGACTTGGTTAAAGCCGTACTCTTTTTGTTATTTCCACCAAAACCTTAGCGGGCGGATCTTCTGGTTTTAAAAGGTAACCTTAAGTTTAACCAATGTATAACCCCTTACCAGCTTAATAAGTCTTAAAGAGCAGTCTACGACCGTGCCTCACCCTTAAAGCATGGATTATGTATTATTAGGTTAAAAGAAAACTTACAAACCAGGTAGAATGATGCTCATATACTGAACTAAAAAGGGTCAGTTTACTTCTTTACGATAAAGCAAATTTGCATAACTGTTGTTTCAGCCATTGGATCAAAATGTCATCTAAAACAAATAAAGGGCATGAGAAAATCTTTTGATTCTGAGGAATTCCAGGCTTTTGTTTTGCCATTGCTTGGACTCGTAGCCTGCTGAGTCATAAGCTGCTGACCTGTAAAAGAGCTGAAACTATGGTTCAAAGTTCAGGGTTTTAAGTTATTTTTAGAAATGGACTGCTAACACGAGGTTCATAAGTGCGTACTGTAAAGGATATCGCTCTGTAAGCTGGGAGTACATGAATGAAGTGACACTGCTTACTGGAATATCATCACAGTAATAGATTTCTGCTGTAATCTGAGCTGAAAGTGGTGCCTTCTTATTGGGCTGGTAGTCTGTTATACCTGAAAAGACTCAGACTTAAGGACTGTTAACAAGAAATGGTTTGGTCTAAAGTAGCTGCAAGAAACACATGAATCCGCTTGTTGAATTATACCAATTGGGTGGGTTTTGGTTTAAGAAAAAAGGATAAAAGGAAGTGAGTGTTACGTAGGTGCAAGCGTTTGTGGGATTATGCCGCAACAAGTGAGGCATTGCAATAGAGGGGTTAATAGTTCAAACACAGGAAAGTATGTCAATCAAACAGTTTTCACAGGTTTCACTGTCAGGTTTGAAGCTAAGTTTTGTGCAACGAGGAGCTTTAATTCATCAGTTCACTGGAGCAGTGGCGTTAAAATCCGCTCATTGCTCAATCTGCTTTTGGGTTGATCATTTCACCTTGATTGCTGTTCAGTTTTGGAGATTGTCAGACTGGAAATAGACCACAACTTCTACACTTCTGCTACACAATCTAATTATAATATCTGGCTATAATTACATTTCAATGAGCAACAGCTCTGAATCCGACACACTATACTGCTCCGCTGGTTTCATGCTGAATTCTCTGATGTAAATCTTAATGATGTATTGTTCTAGTGACAGCAGTCGTTGGGTCTAATGTGGGTTTAAATGCATTCTTAATTGATATTTATCTGCTGTCGCTGTGGTATGTCTTTATTTTGCTGCAGAGGCCTCAGGGTTTCCTATGTCACATTTGTAGTAACAGTATATCCTGCTCAGATAAGCTGCTGTGTTTTACATTCTGTTTGTGTTTCCCTGTGTGTAAAACTACAGCTTTGCTGACTTAGATAGCTGAGGCCATGTATATTGGAGTTCCTTTATTGCTGAGATGTGTACATTTCTGTGGGGAAGAACTAATTCATCCAGAAAGTCTTTATTTTCTACGAAGCAGAGGGAGAAATGGACAATTTCAGATTCAATATATTTATATCCTTTCATATCCAACAATAATACATCTTTTTAAAAGAAATTTGTTATTTCTTATGGCATGATGTTTTTTCTGGATCAACTATTACTATGCTGTTGTAAATATGTCTGTTTTTGGGTATAAGATAAATTAGTCTCTCTAGAGTCTAGTATATTTTTTCTGTCAGGTGGATTGATTTTAGCAGGAGTTTTCTTGGGAATCTAATCTGTGACTTAAAATACCTACAAAGCAGAAAATAGGACGGGAAATACCTGCAAGGTGCTGAATAAATATTATTCTAAACACAGAACAATGTTCCATACACTTCAGTGCTGCGCAAAAGTTTTTAGTCGTCCCTTAATTTATTTTTATTAAATATAACTATTAACTATTATTTTCTGGCCTTTAGCTGCTCTATTTTTTTCTTCTTTGAACTTATTTATAACCATGTGAATCATTAAGGAACTAATAGGATTATTATCTTATAAACATAATGACAACTTAAAGAACGTATTTGGCTGCCACCTTTTTATCCCCTCCCTTTTAGTCCATCCATATTTCCCCCCAGCTTTTATTGTCATTACACTGTCACAAGTACACAGCAATGAAATGAACTCTCTGCATTTAACCCATCCAACTGGGCACCAGTTGGCTACCATTGTGTGGCGCTGGGTGTGCAGTTTGGGGTTAAGGGTCTTGCTCAGGGATCCAGAGTAGCTGTCTGTTGGAGTGGGGCTTGAACTTGTAACCCCCAAGCTCTATGCCCTAACCGCTAGGCCACCACTTCCCTTCACAGACTGTCCTCCACCTATATGAGTACAGGTGAAGATGGAAACAGGCTTGGGTGGGAAAACCAGACATTTTTCTCACCACTGATACTCCCAACCCAAAAATGATTCATCCCACTGGAATCTGCCCAATAAAACCTCTTAAGGGAAGCATCAAAGAAGAGCCCGATCTGACTGCCTCTGATCTGGAGAAGAGACAGCGCTGTTCCTCTGAGATGATGGTGCTCCCTGACTTATGGGACGTCGAGGGCGGAATAAAACTCTTAGAGAACAGTGTTTGGAAAAGATGCGGGAGGGTTATTCTGTATAATACTGTAATTCATGCTTACAGTAGTGTGAGGGATTGCTAAAGAGTCACTGAGTCAATGCAATCAACTGGTTTTCCTTAGACAGAAAACTTTGAATCAGTTTGACTGATCTGGTGAACTGTAAAGTGCCTTGAGATGACATGTGTTATGAATTGGCGCTATATAAATAAACTGAATTGAATTGAATTGCAGGTCTGACCCTCTTGTTATTTCTGATCATTGACATCACAAATTCTCAAATGATGATGTTTGCCGAAGTAAGAAGCTCTCAGTCTGGGTCAGGATTCTGTCACACACCGTTTATGGCAATCAGATATAGATGGAACAATCAGATGAGATGGAGAATTGGCCAATTCTTAGGGAAAACTGGATTTTAGCCCCCCTACAAGATTCCTAAACAAGATCTTTCCTAGATAAACTTTTAAAGAAAATGTGTGCTTCTAAGGATTACAAATAAATTCTAGGTTTGTGTGTTTTACTGTGCTGCTGAATGTGCATTAATCAATGAACAAATTCTTAGAAGTCAAACTTTTTATGCTAATGAACCCAAAAGCTAGACAACATTTTGTAAAAAGGCTAAATTTAGGAGAATTTCTTTTTTTAGACAACAAAATCTTCCAACATCTCCTCTCTATGTGATGCTTTGCTTTTTTTTAAATCTTATATATGAAGACATAAACATCTGTAACTCTATAAGGGTAGCAGATTAACACTCACTTGACGAGTGCCTGTGATCATATGAGCTGTTTATGAGGCTGTGACTCGGTTAGAGCTGCTGCAGAGCACAGCACCTTTTTCTGGAAGGAGCTTGGAGCTGATCAGCAGCCTCTGACCCTGAAGGGAACCATGACCAGATCACAGCTGCATGACAACAGCCTAAAAACAAACCTCAGTCGGGCTGAATGGGATGCCAGAACGGTTCATCTATTTCCAGCTCTCTCGGTCTTCTGTATTTGCAGCTTTTAAAAGCCACTTCAGTCTGAATGTCCGGGGTTTCTTCTTTTGAAGGTTTGCCCAAATTGAAGTGTGATGAAAATAGATTTAATGAGACTCCTCTCTAAGAGCAGCTCTGTTGGGTGTTTTTGTTCTATATTTGCATGTGTTTAGTTTCTCCTCTGTTTTCAGGGCTTGTGTCATTTATTCCAGTTTGACCTTTGTCCTTGTTCTCTGCTATATTTAACACATTATAAGTTATTGTTAGTCTAGGTGAACAGGTGAACTTCCTGCTGCGCGCTGTTTTTGCCTGAGGAATCGTTTGCCGCTAGGTTATGGAACGCTAACCTCTTTCCCTTCTCTGTTCGTCTCACAGGCAGATGCCAAGATGGTGTGTGACGTGGTCAGTCGCATGGAGGACACAGAGCCGTACTCCGCCGAGCTGCTGGGTGCCATGATGCGTCTGTGGGCTGACTCGGGCATCCAGGAGTGCTTCAGCCGTGCCCGAGAGTACCAGCTCAACGACTCGGCCCAGTAGTACGTCCATGTTTTGGTTTTTATGTCTCTTTTTGTTAAGTTCTAGAAATCGGGCATTGGAGGCTTAGGTATGCTTAGGCATTTATGCAAGGTTGTTTAGGTTCCTGCTTCATTTTATTTTATTTTTTATGACGTTTCCCTTTCTTAGAGCCTTTTTTTGTTTGTTTTGTTAGGAACAGAGGGATGTAAAGTTTTTTACTGTAACTGAACTGCTTCAAACGCTCAACTGAATACAGTAACGTAACATCACTGTTACGGTTTAGATGGTTGAATTTAACCAGCAGTTCTATTCTGTAACAAACTAACAAACCATAAAGGTAAATTCATATAAATTACATTTCCAGGTGTAAAATAAATAAATAGGATTCCTACTTGTTACCTGAGTCTGTACTCGGGGTATCAAAACAAACAGTGGGATAAAGTAGTTGGCGCAAAAAAGGGACAAAAAAAAAAAAAAACATTTGGTGGGATTAAATAACTTGGTGGCAGTGAACTTAACTGAGGATATTTTATCCTTTAAATGCACTTTAGATACACAAATATGCAGTTAACACATACAATGCAATATACTGTATTGTTAGGAAAGATTAACACACAAATGTGAAAACAAACAACTCTTTTGTGTTTGCAGTCCTTTTTGTATTCTGTTCATTTATGTATTTGCAGCATGTTTGTACCCCTCAGCCACTGTGGGTCAGGGTGGACCTCTGCGTTGGACCACAGGTTTAACTACCTGCTGCATTTGTAGTCAGCTTAGATTTAGTGGCGCCTTACTTGGAGAAAGCAGAGCTTGTACACAATAATAATAACTGTAATGCTTATAAATTACACCATGTAGATATGACTTTGATTTGTCACTAACTTCATAAACACATAGATTTACATTCTTACCAAGCTAGGACTAGATATATATGTACTGTATGCCTTTGGTATTTTCCTGCAGATTGTATCATTCCAGATCGATATGTGACTCATTTGTTGCCACCTAACAACACAACCCACACATTGAAACACAAGCAAAGACACACTGCAGTTCATTGTTTTTCTTTTAAATATTATCACCCTGCAGCTTTAGCAGCACATGATCAATCATGGCCCCTGGTCCTGATTTATTCCGCATCTGTTTGGATGCTCAGATAGGAAAAGGCCTGTTTGTGAACAATTTGTTTTGATCAAAAATAAGACTTTCAAAAGCGGAACATTAAAGGTCAAAACAGACCAGCCAAAGTGACTAGAACGAAGGCCATCTTTATTGGGCCACATCCTTTTTTCTTTCAGCACCTGTTTTTATTTGGGTCTGGACTATCTGCATACCTCAGATTAGCAAATCGATCACAGTTCATGTTCTTCAGTCAGACTTAAACAGTCTATTCTTTTATCTTGTACCTTGTGTAGAATATTTTGCTGTATATCATCAACACATTTGGTTTTATATGATAATGGATACATAAGAACTGGAGACTGGGGTCCATAGAATTGAAAAGTTGTTGGTTTCATTTGAATTTGTTTTTGTGGGGTAATCAATCAGAACATAATCTGTTCCAAATGCAAACTAAAAACCTTTACATAAAAACCTAGATTCTAGTGGCATCATAAGTGGAGTAGTGGTGTTTTCAGGGATTCAGCGATAGAACAGTAAGTTAGAGAAGATGCCATCATTACGAACAAATGATGGGTTTAGAGAGGTTTGCATGACACCAAATCTTACTGTAATATCGCACCACTCACCCCTGTGCCGTATCTAACTATGAATGAATCAAACCCATCAAAATTAAAATTTGTGCTTAGCTGTTTTATTTATTGTTTTTTTTTTCTTTTTTAAGGAATGGATTTTGGTTTCTTCTGCTTGAAAGTTTAGGAAAATGTTTTAATCTTCAGACCAAGAAATCCATTTTACTGTGTTTTCAAAAATGAACCCATTAAGGGACAATGCCACGGTTTATAGCACTGTTGCCTTGCAGCAAGAATGTCTCGGGTTCGATTCCCGGCCTGGGGTATTTCTGCATGGAGTTTGTATGTTCTCCCAGTGAGAACCCTGTGGGTTCTCTGCAGGTACTCCGGAGTCCACCCACAGTCCAAAAACATGGCTGTTAGGTTAATTGTCATCTCTAAATTGTCCTTAAGAGTGTTGCCCAGCAACAGACTGGCGACCTGTCAAGGGTGTACCCCATGGATGGATGGATGGATGGATGGATGGATGGATGGATGGATGGAACAAACTCTTTTTTTTTCTGCTTGAAAGTTTAGAAAAGAATTTTTCAATCTTCAGACCAAGAAATCCATTTGCTGTGTTACAATCACAAACCAAACAGGAATGTTTTATTTACCAACTAGCATAGAAATCTAAGGAGAAAAGGCGTAGTTAAGTCAATCATTGATGGCTAGAAGTAAATTTTGATTACTTGCTTTGTAAAAAAATTGAAATAATTCTACCCCTGGTGCTCAGTCACAGCCTTATTGTGCTCTTTTTGTTAAAAAGGAAAGCATGTGAAATGTTTCAGTTATGATGAAGTGTAGAAAGTTGAGATTGATGTGTGGCAGAGCATTTCAGCTTTTATATCCAGGCTGTAACACACAGCTAAATTACTGAATCTGTTTTTCACGAGGACATAACATTATGTGTGTGCAGAAGTTAGAAATTTATATTAAAAAAAAATCTGGTAATTATTATGTGTTGATGGATTAAAACAAGGGATGCAAGTTATTGATAATTAAATGTATCTAAAGTTTATTGATCTTAAGGATCTACTAATGATTAATTGATAAGCCGCCCTTTTCTTATAAACCTGAGTTTTCTTATGTATCAAGAGGATCTGGCCAGTTGTAATTACTGACTGAAAAAAAAGATTTTTTTCATACACAGAATAAGCACATTATATTGGGTGACTGAATTAAAAAACAGAAATAAACTATGTGAAATACATGATTAACAATGTAGAGACATATAAACTATAACTGAAATACAGGGTATGTCACTCTGACGTGCTGTATGACTATTTACCACTTCATTTTAATGGGCAGTAGCTGGGATGTAGCTCTCTGTTTTTAGTGTAAAATCCGTCAGTCAGTCATGAGACAGAATTTGACCTGTTAGCAGCACTTTTAAGCAGGTGGTTCTGGTTGCTCTCAGAGGAATGTTAAAACTTGGTTCTCTGATGTGCATGAACTCATTAAAGTATTCCAGTTTACTGAACTTGTTGCCAGCTTGTCTTTTTTTTCTTGTTACAAATGTTTTGAGCAAATTCCCTCCTCGTTTTACATATTCTCACATCCTTGCCTTCCAACCAAATCAGAGAAATCCACTGCACAGTTAAATAGATGCTATTTAGGCAATAACTTAAGAGTTTATTGAGTGTTTATACTTACAAACAAAACTGCATTAAGTGCTTTCTGAATGCTTGTCACTATTATACCATGTACAATTTTATGGATGTAGATTTAATATTTTATTTTATTCTTCAAAATCTCAAAGTGCGAGTATAAAAAAACTAAATGGAATTTTTTATTTTTTTGTTTTGCCTTGATGTAAGAGGAAACAATATGCAGTAGCTATAATTTATTATACATTTAAACTGTAGCATTCTAAGTTTGATCACCAGATGAGCTGCATTAACATTGGTATTTAAACAAGTTGAATTCCACATTAAGAGCACCTCTGCTCTAATACAGTATGTGCAACACATGTGTGGCAGTACAGCACAACTGATGCAAATTTAACTAACATGTCAAAGCAGAGACCAAGTAATAACAGAACCTAGTCTAATGCTGGACAAAGTTGTCTGCTCTATAAAAAGATCCATTTATGTCTGGAAGTAGGACAGTTGGAAGTGAAAGTGACTGCTTACTCATTCTGATCAATTCCACTAAGAACTAGCAACTTAGGGGGGACTCCTAGAGCAATCTCATTCTTAATTGGTCAGTTAATCAATTAATATCAAATGTAAATCGGATAAGTAAAGTCTTAGCACACATAATGTACCTAATCTTGATGAATACACTGGATTCCACGCACTTGATCCCACTTTACATTCAAGCCAATCAGAACAAGATGTGATCAAAAGCACAGACATTCCAGGGCTCTGCTTTTCCCTAAATCTCATCCACTTCTTTATAATTAGTCTAAAATAAGGTATTACAGTAATAAGCCAGCAGACAGAAAAAAATGCACAAGGTGTAACAGCAGCTTTACTGTTGGTTGAACACTGTGCACACAAAAACAAAGTCAATGTATATTCTTGACCAATGTGCAAGAAAATGATGCATCCACAAAATCTGTGTTGTCAGGATCCCTCTGTATAAAGCACAAAAAATTAAAATGACACATTAAATTATATCATAACATGTTTTGCAAACACATACATGGCAGGAAAGTACCTCTTTTCAGAAACAAGTATCCATACTTAACTATTTTGATTATGATGCCAAGCTGACAAGGCTTGCAGCAACACATTGCTCAGAGCAGCCAGTGGGAATGACCCACAGTGTCTCAACTTTGTTTAATTTGCTGTTGCAAAGTTAGAAGGTAAACTCATCCAGTGATACTATTGCAGTCTGGGAAATAAGGGCATTTGATCTGTAGAAAAAGGTATGCTTAACTATGAGGGCTGAAAAGACACAGAAAGGCTAACAGTGCACGCACCATCTGCTTCAGTAACTGGAAGCAATAAGGAACGAAAGCAGAGTGATGAGCCGAAATGCATTTTTTAAAATTGCTGAAATCTTATTAAGTAGAGTTACCGACACAGTAGAGAGCAAGCAGCACTTGGAGGTTGAAGCCAATAAACGGTGAAGAATGAGTCAGATTTGTGTCCATGCTGATGCAGACCGGATGTTATAAACTCAAGTAGGATCCTTTTAGTTCCAGCTTATTTGTCAGTTTGTGTGTCTGTGTTAAATGTCACATTAAAGATTGATGCACTCTTCCTATTATGTTGTGTCCTGTGCATCAGAACAGAGTACCCACTCAGTGAAGCAATAGGACAAATGTCACATGATCAGAC